AATTCCCCGCTGCTCGCTCTCACCTTCATCACGCTCGTCTGCCTCTCGACCTTCCCACCCGCATTCGCCGGCCGGTTGCGCGTCGCTCGCACTCGACAGGCGCACTTTCGTCATCAGCGACAGCTACGGGACCGCGAGCGAAAGCTGATCCACGTCGCCGACCCGCACGGCGGCTCTCATCCTTCGCGCATCGCCAAAACATTAACCAGCTCCGACAACAGGCGCAAACAGGGACTCTCGGACCCGGCCATCCCCGCTCCCATCGCATACAACGGCGGTCCCGTGATGAACGGCTCGACAATAAATGTATACATAATCTACTATGGCGCCTGGACACCGCGGAAATCCGGACAACCTATAATCGAGAACTTCATTCTGTCACTGAGCTTGTCAGCCGCCGACGCGCAAGGTGTAGCCGGAGATCCGAAGGTAGCCTACCGGTGGGCGAACACCTCAAAATACTACTCGGAGGCGTCAGACGGCACGAAGTCCACTGTCAGCAAGGAGGTATGATGTCATTGTTTTTTTTCAACGTTTGTCGATAGTTTTTTAATATTTGAAACTGCTATGAGCATGTGTGAAACTGGAGAATTGTGCTTCCAGGGTCGAAGCGCTTTCTGTGAAGTGCAGAAGTTCTTGTTGCGGATTTTGATGGAAAACAGCCCGAACCCCACTCCCTTTCCCAGGTGAAATTTATCAAGGCAACCACAGACAAATGGTCTGTGGAAGAAATGGAAGACCGACGCTATCTTCAAAGGTGTGTGTCTGTGCCTCCCAACACTGTCTTCAAAACTGCTTTCCTTTCGTTAGTACATGCCCCCCGTTTGTTTGCGGGCATTACATGATGCCGCTTACTTCCTCCCTCCGTAATAACACGTTTTGCATCCTAAGTAGCACTATCCTCTCGACCCCACATCTTTCTCTGACTTGACGAGTTGTCACTGTACCGTTTTGCGCTCGTCTTTCTAACTGTGGCACAGCTGTGACGAGCAAGATCGGCCCCAGGAAGGCGTTCCCTTACGACCCCCAATGGCATTTACCTGATCCTTCCCAGCAAGGACGTCAAAATCGAAGGATTCTGCATCGATTTCTGCGGGTGGCACTCTTTGGGGTACACTACATTGAACGGCACGTCAAAACCTGTCATATATGCCATCGTGGGTCATCACGCGCAATGCCCGGATAAATGCTCGGTGCATCATTATTCGCCCAACGGAAACCCCCCGATCGACGCGATGGTATCCACTATCGCGCACGAAGTCGCGGAAGCTGGGTCGGATCCCGACACCATCACCGGCTGGTTCGACGCGGACCAACAAGAAAACGCCGATAAGTGCGGCTACAAGTTCGGAGATTATTTAATCGCTCAGGACGCTAAACGTCACGATTTCAAGTACAACCTCGTGGGGAACAAAGGTATGAAGTTCATGGTACAGCAGAACTGGGACCTGGACACGGGAACGTGCGTCATGCAGACGGACCCCGCCGCTAGTACCGGCGGAGGTACCGGCGGTAGCACCGGCGAGGGTGGTACTGGCGGCACTACCGGCGGTACTACCGGATCATAGGCGATGCAACGATGGATTGCGATTCGTGAGGCTTTTGTGGAAGGTGACGACAAGAAGGAAATGCGGAAACGCGAAGGGAACTATCCGGAGGAGGTATCAGATCTGCGTGGAGTCATCTAGGCGATGTTCGGCAGCCAGAGGAGGGGGTTTGATGGAGGATCAAAATGGCGAGCCTCCAGGCTCGACCAGTACGAACCAGGCAAAACACTTCGGTCAGGCTAGAAAAATGTGAAAAAAATGTCGAACGTAAGCCTAAAACGCGACTCGAACACAACGCTAGGTGGTAACCCGCGCCGCATCCTCCCCCAAAACCTCCCCCATGGCGGAAAAGATCAGCCCTAGTGCCCAGGGAATCCAAATTGCACTCCCGTGAAAGGCCTCCGTCACAGGGGATACAAAATGGATCCCCTCAACCACGAAATTGTTTTATGATTGTCCCCCACACTCTAAACTGACGGGTAAACCGGACATCGGAAATGTAATTGTAAAACAGTTGTATTTAATAAGGTCAAATGAGTGAGTACGACATTCAAGACATTCATTTTAATTTATGGTGTTAAATGTTTTCAGGAAGTGATATACCCAATCCCATCGCAGCAGTAAAAAGAGGCAGGGAGAAGAAAAACTGTTCAGCTCGCGAAGTTTCGTTTCGTGCGGCTGCAGTTTCGTGGGCCCCCAATTCCCGCGTCGCTCATCCGCGCCTTTTCCCCCAAAGGTTCTGCTTGCGCCTGGACCCCAGACTTGGAGTCAACGCTGGTTGACTCCGAGTTGACCATCCCGAACTAGAAACCCTAGTTGAGAATTTCGACCCCCCCCTCGATCCCTCGGTGGATCTCCTGTGCTGCCGAACATCGCCCTAGGTCAATGCTGAACGGGCCAAGCCCTAACTTCTGCTTTGAAGCACAAGCTGCGCGCGGAAGAATTTGTTGTTGGGGTGTTTGTGGTACCGTAGTGTACAAAAAACGGCCCGATAAGCGCCTGGAGTCGTTGTGAAACTGTTAGAAAGAAGGGTTTAAATTTGTTTGTTTTTATAAATCAATATATGTTTTGTGTTCATCTAGCGTGGATCCAGCATCCTCTCTGACGGATTTTTGCCAAACATTTCTGCAACTACCCGCTCACTAGAAGACTCTATCGTCGCTTGACCTCCATCTGCTCATGCGATCACAGATTGGAGCTTCAAAGTTCAGACTGCATTCACAAACAGGAGCATCAGTCTTGTTTTGTGTTGCTTCGTTTTGCTACCCCTCTTGCACCTCCACCTCCCGGACCTAGCCTCCTTTGCGTGTCACAAATCCTCTCAGGTGCCAACACCTCTGTTATGTTATAAACCAACCCTGTACTGTAGACGTTATCTACAGGAACACTCGCAGAATCAACCCAAATTCTTAGTGCAGCTCCGATCCTCCCTCTCTGCCAAAAATCATCGACCATACCGCAGAGAACCACCCAGCACCGTATTCCCGCACTCGCAATCTTGAAAAGTCAACCCCGATCGCATGCTCCTTCTGATTGGCTCTCAATTCTTGCTTTCCTCCTCTAAAAGGCTTCTCCTTCTTGCCTTTGATTGCCACACGTGGCTCTACTGATGACTTCCCTTGACTGTTTGAAGATAGTGCGGTTCCCATGGGTTCATTTTCACGATCACCAGCACATCCCACTGGTTGGTCTGCCCAGCCTTTTCAGAGCAGAGCTTCGTGGTGCAGCATTATTTCCTGCTGCTGCTGCATCCCCTGCCGCAGTTGCAACCCTTGCTGCTGGTGCAGTTGCCTCCTCTGCTGTTGCTGCTGTTGCCACCGCTGCTACTGTTGCTGATGGCACTGCTGCTTCTGCACTTCCAGCTTCGCCTTACCTCTCTGGATCCACAGGAATCCCACTTATCTCCGTTTCCCTCCCTGCCTCCCTCCTCTCACTCCCCCTTTCTGCTGCTCCCTCTCCCCTCCTCTCGCTTTCCTTCCCTGTTGTTCTCTCTTTCCTTCTCTCACTTCCCTTCCCTGTTGTTCCATCTCTCCTCCGCTCACTTTCCTTCCCTTCCTGCTGTTCCCTGTCCCCTCCCTTGCTCTTCTGTCACTCCCACCTCCTCCCCTCTCACTTGCCCCACTACCCTCGCCTTCCTCTCATCCTCATCTGCCTCCTCCCCTCCCTTCTTCTCCACCTCATCCCGATGCTTCAGCTGCAGCATCCTGGAAGCTTCATGGGCCACCCACCGCCGATATTGTGACCACTTGTATGTCTGAAGCGGTGGAAAGCGGTGGAAAAGGTCGAAATTGGTGACAAACCGTGAAAACACGGCGGAAAGAGGTGAAAGTGGCAAATGAGTGTGGTGAAGAGCTGTGAAAAGCGGTGCAGATGGAGAGTACTGCTGGGGTAATAATGAGTATGATCTATTAAGAAGTGGAAAAGGAAGAGGAGGGGAGGTGGGGAGGAAAGAGAGGGCGGGAAAGAGTATCTCACTGCTGGTGACATTGGTGGAAGTGGTTGAGGGGGAAGCAGGAGAGAACAAAGAGGATGACGAGGAGGATTTACCAGGGTTTGGGCAGGAGAGGGGAATGAGACGGGGGACGAGGGAGCAAAAGTAATAACAAGGACGAATATGCATACCTCGTTGGTGGTGACGTTGGTAATTACGAGGTGGAGGTGGTAGAGGAGAAAGCAGGAGAGGAGAACGAGAATGAAGAGGAAGAAGAGGAGCAGCGCACACTGGCGGTGGAAGTAGACTGTGAGCCACTGGAGATTGGGGAAGGAGGGGAGAAGGGAAGATAAATAGAGGGGGGGTGGGGGGGGAGAAGAGGAGCAGCACGCACTGGCGGTGGAAGTAGACTGAGAGCCACTGGAGATTGGGGAAGGAGGAGAGAAGGGAAGATAAATAGAGGGGGGGGGGGGGGGGGGGGAGAAGAGGAGCAGCGCGCACTGGCGGTGGAAGTAGACTGTGAGCCACTGCAGGATCACAGGCAGCCAGCCTAACAGATGCGTCCTGGAGGGATCATGCTATGAAGTGGGGAGGATGGGGGGAGAAGAGAATGGAGACGAGGAGAAGAGCGCATTAGCAATGGTGTGTTTTTGAGAAGCATTGAGAACACATGATATTGGGTGTCCCCCCTCCCCCCCATTATATTAGGCGGGCGTACCTATGATGGTACCGCATGGGTGGGCGTACCTATTATGGCAGAAATGACTTGGCTGTGTGTGATTTCACTAGCCAGGATGGAACACTCGCTAAACACACCGTACGCTAGAAAGAAAATGTTTCTGAAGAGAAGGAGTGGGAGGGGAGAGGTGGGGGTGGGGGGAGGTGAGGGGATGCCTGGTTAAGGGCATGTCGAGTTAGCCAGAATGAAGCACACACCAAACACACCGTACGCCAGAAAGCAGATGTTTCTGAAGAGAAGGAGTGGGGTGGGAGTGGGTGGGGGGAGGTGGGGGGAAGGCTGGTTAAGGGCATGTTAATTTAGCCAGGATGGAGCACACGCCAAACACACCATACGCCAGAAAATAGATGTTTCTGCGGAGGGGAATGTGGCGACGCGGAGAGGAGGGGAGAGAGAGGGAGAGTTGGGGGCATGTGAAATAGGCCAGGATGGAACACACGCCGAACACACCGTACACCAGAAAACTTATATTTCTGCGGGAAGAGGAAAGGAGAGGGAAAAGGGGGATGGGGTGACGAGGGAGGGAAGCTGAGTTGACATGTCATTTCAAGATGGTGACATGTCAAGATGGGGCGCACATCAACCACACCACACACGGTTGTTCTGAGCGGAATTCTGACACTCTTGTCCCCTCGTTCCTCCCCACTCCCCTCCCCACTCACCACCACACTCACCACCACACTCCCCTCTCCACTCGCCTCCCCACTCCCCTCCCCACTTCCCTCCTCATTCCCCTGCCCAAGCCCATCCCCACACTCACGCAAAGAGGATGAGCAGGAAGAAGCGAAGGTTGTTCTCCCCAACGCAGTTATTCTGAAAAGGAACAAGAAAGAGAGAGAGGAGTTTGGGTGTGGGTGTGGGGGGGGTGGTATGAGAGGGGAGGAAGAAGGGGTCCAATTCTCAAAACATCGCCAGCACTGAGAGAAGATCATGGATGCCCAGCAACGAGAGGCGAAGGCTGTCCTCCCCAACCCAACACAGCTACTCTGAAGCACAGGCGATGACAGATGAGAGCGAGAGAGAGCAACAATGCCACTCACCACCCAGGAGCACCATGAACCACCACCAACCCAAAAGCACCACTCATCGCCCTACAGCACCACTCAGCACCCAGCAGCACCGCTCACCACCCATGCGCAGTGGTGATCACATCTGGAGATGCATCGGTTGCACACCCGGCAATGCTTGGCTCGTGCGGGCCTGGGGCAGGGAAACGTGAAAGGCGTACTATGAGATGTCAAAGCCCTTGAGAAGGGAGAGGAGAGTAGGGGAGCGGGGTACTTGTGGATGGAGGAGAGGTAGAGTCCGGGGATGAAACCCATGCAGTAGACGTGAAAGGCGTAGTATGAGACGTTAAAGCCCATGAGAGGGTGGGAGAGAAGAGAAGAGAGAAGAAAACCTGTGGATGGTGGAGAGGAGAGGAGAGGGGAGAGAGGGGGACGGATTACCTGTGGACGGAAGAGAGGTAGAGTCAGGGAATGAAGCCCATGCAGTAGACGTGAAAGGCGTAATAGCCTCCTACTACCAACACGAGGTAGATGACCTGCGGTGAGTCGAGAGGAGGACACAGAGGGACAGGGACAGGGAGGGAGAGAGGGTGGAGAGCTGAAGCCCATACAGTAGACGTGAAAGGCGTAGTAGCCACCTATCACCAGGACAATGTAGATGATCTGCAATGGGTCTAGGGGAGGATACGGAGAGGGGGGGGCACGGAGAGGGGAGGATACGGAGAGGGGGGACACGGAGAGGGGAGGAGAGTGCGTGTGTAGTAAGGAGGACTTATGCAATCGAGGCGTACGTGGCAGGCGTAGTAGCCTCCGATCACCATGACAAGGTAGATGAGCTGCAATGCGTCGAGGTAAGGATGCGATGTTTGTCAAACCTCACGGTTCTCGAACTGTCATCCCGAGGTATTTATCAGTTGGCAGGACAAGAGCTTTAGCGATAAACGAACCTGGAAAAGTGGGTTTCACTGCTCGCAGCAGAATTGGAAGATGATGTCACCGGCTCGTTCGCCTCTCCCACTAAAGAAGAAACCGAGAAGGTAACTGTACGGAGACATGACACGGGAAAGCGCGGATGTTGTGCAGCTGTAACGCGACGATTACGTTACATATGCATGATTTATATGCATTGACACGCATTCTCCAATTTAAGGAAAGTAACAAACAATGGAGCTTCGAAGATCCCTGACGTGATCCAGTAATGAGGAGCTTATAACGGTGCCATCGAACGAGGTTGATTCCCTGAACAGCAGGACGAATAGCAGGAAACCCAGCAAAGCCACGTACGCAAACAGCAGCAGCATTGGCGAATCCATGTCGCCAGCTGACGTTTCGTAGGCAGATCAGCGTGTATCGAGAGAATTGATTCGAAATCAGTCAGCGAACAGCATTGTCGAATCCATGCCGCCAGCTGGGGTTTCGTGAAGCAAATCAGCGTGTCTAGAGCGGAACCGTTCGCAATCAGTCAAGGAGATTAGCCCGACAGGCAGTCAATATCGATGTCCTAACGCTCCCTGCGAGTATGAAACTTCTGAAACTCGTTCTACAGACAGAAGGAGAGCCGTCTTCAGTGATCACACTTGAGTTTGTTGCAAAGCGGAGGAAAAAACATATCTGAGTTTGGAGGCTGGAAAACTTCTGATGGATTTATCACCAAGATCCAACCCTAAACACAGGCAAGCCTAACGAGCAACGATATATTTTCTCAACAGACGGGTCGCACTACTGCTAGAAATAACTAACGGGTTTGAAGAGGCATGCTTTTTGAACCACCAGCAATTTCCAAGGGACAGAACGTTCTGACAGCTCTCGGGAAAGTGACTGACATAAACAAAAACGTCATTATATGAGTAGGCTATCACGCTATAGCGAGGATCACATGTGGCTTGGCTCTGAAACTAGATGATGTACACTCAGCGAGATTTCGCGAACCACACGAATTGTTAGGCAACCAGTAATGATACTCGACACTTTCGCAAGCACCAATCACCCTAGCGTGCCCAGGTGAGGGTGGATCACAGGTCCGACCTGGCAGGGTGCACAAACAAATCGAGAGCTCCCAACCCAACCCAACCCCACCCAACCAACCTTGTTAGGGGGAGGCTTCAACCTCAATCCTTCTCCAGCGGAGTCTAGTAAACTTGTCCCATTCACTTCTTATTCAGGCGAAGTCTCTCAACCTTGTCCTGGCTCCGAGTCTACGAGCCTTGTCCCATTCGCTTCTTGTTTTCGCACCCGAACCGCCCTTCGGAGTATACTACTACTAGAAGCTGTCAATGACAATTCAGCAAGAGTCTCGCTGTTTTCCACCATGGCAAAAATCCTCAATATCCTGCTGCTCGCTCTCTCGGTAGTAATGCTCGTCAGCCTTTGGATAGTCCCACCCGCATTCGCCGGCCCGGTGCGCGGCGTCTCTCGTATGCGACGGCTGAGCGGCCGTGAGCAAAAACCGATCCATGTCAACGACCCGCGCGGCGACTCTCAGCCAGGGCCTTCTTTTGGTTTTTCGGTACTCTGGTTTTCAGAGTAGTTTTTATGCGAACTCTGAAATCCAGAGTGGTTCCTACGCCTTACTCTGAGCCGACAGAGTAACCCTATTACGTGGATTAAAAACCCTGGCACGTCAGAGTAATTGTTTTTTGTACTCTGATCGTAGTGTAAAATGTTGTGTGAGAAGTATGGAATGGGAGTATTGTTTTACCAACTGTTTTGCGTTTTGATGTCACTTACACGGTTCAGTCAGTTCAGTCACGAATGTATATAATAATTGAATGTAATATAGGAAATCCGATACCAACTAACTAATAAAGAGGAGCCCCTTGGGCTACACTAGTAGTAGTCATCCTCGCCCTCCGATTCCGCATCAGACTCGATCTTCGCCTTCCCCCTAGCGCAAACTGGTGCGCTGTGCGCAAGTTTCTTGGCGAGGCGACGCTTCTTCTGATTGCGCCAGATGTCGACAACTTCATGCCACACGAAGTCGTACTGGAGCATGTGGATGCTCATCAGCTCTGTCAGACGAGCGTCGTTGAGTGACGTGCGTATCCAGCTCTTGATGACGTTCTGCCTGCTGAACCTGTCAAATTGTTATATTCTGTAGGCTGTAGTGGGGTAGCCTATATGGGGTACACAATTCTAGGGTTGCATATTTTGTATCACTTCCATTCCTTAGTCAACTCATTCTCGTTCTACTTTTCTCATGGTATCGAGCAGGTTCCCCCGTGGGAACTGTGCTTAGGGCCCACCACATCGATTTTTTTTTTTCCTGCCCGAAGCGCGCTCGCCCTGAGTCGCTCTCCGGGCCCTCTCTCGCTTTGTCGAGCTGCCCTAGAGGCCCCGCCGCCCTTCGTCGCGGCCCCGCCCTTAGTCGCGGCCCCGCCCTTCGTCGCGGCCCCGCCCTTAGTCGCGGCCCCGCCCTTCGTCGCGGCCCCGCCCTTCGTCGCGGGCCCGCCCTTCGTCGCGGCCCCGCCCTTCGTCGCGGGCCCGCCCTTCGTCGCGGCCCTGCCCTTCGTCGCGGCCCCGCCACCCCTCGTCGCGGCCCCGCCGCCTCTCTCTACGCGGCCCTGCCGCCCTTAGTCGCGGCCCCGCCATCTCTCGTCGCGGCCCTGCCGCCCTTCGTCGCGGCCCCGCCACCCGACGTTGCGGCCCCGCCGCCTCTGTCGTCGCGGCTCTGCCGCCCTTTCGTCGCGGCCCCGCCACCCTTCTTTGCGGCCCCGCCGCCTCTCTCGACGCGGCCCCGCCGCCCTTCTTAGCGGCTCTGCCGCCCTTCGTCGCGCCCCCTGCCGCCCTTCGTCGCGGCCCTGCCGCCCTTCGTTGCGGCCCCGCCGCCATTCTCCACCGCGGCCCCGCCACCTCCCTTGCGGCCCTGCCGCCCTGCACCGCCCGCTCCGCCCGTATCACCTGAGCCGCCCGAGCCGCCCGAGCCGCCCGAGCCACCTGAGCCACCCGAGCCGCCCGAGCCGCCTGTGCCGCTGAGGACCCGAGCCGCCCGAGCCGCCTGAGCCGCCCGAGCCGCCTGAGCCGCCCGAGCCGCCTGAGGAGCCGAGCCGCTGGTCCTGCGGAGCTGCTGTTGCTGCTGGGCCGGCCGAGCAGCAGTGTTGCCGTGTTGCTGTGCTGCTGAGCTGCCTAAACCGCCCTGTCTGGTGAGAACGGCACCTCTGTCACTGCACTGCCCCTGTCCTACAGTCTTTACTGCTAGTCCACTGCTGTTATGGCTACCCCTAGTGTCCTAGCTTTTGACGCTGAGGGTCGCGCCATTGACTTTGAGGTCTGGGTCGACGACCTGCAGCTGTTCTTACAGTGCGATAGGGGAGACGGCCTTTCTCTCTTTGACCTCACCTCTGGCGCCTCTCCTGCCCCTCCTGCTCATGCTGACCCTACTGTTCGCTCCCAGTGGGCCACGCGCGATGCTGCTGCACGTCTTGCTGTGCGTCGCCACCTCCCTACCTCTGAGCGTGCGCACTTTAGTCAGTACAAGAGTGCTCAGACCTTGTACGACGCTGTAGTTGCGCGCTACTCCTCCCCTGCCACAGCTGCACTGAGCCGTCTCATGCTACCGTACCTCTTCCCTGACCTTGCTGCCTTTCCCACAGCCGCTGACCTTATTACGCACCTCCGCACTAGTGACACTCGCTACCGCGCTCCGCTTCCTGCTGACTTCTGCGCCAAGAACCCCCCCCCTTTGTACATCACTCTCTACTTCATAGTCACTCATCTCCCTGACTCCCTTCGTGTAGTCAGGGACCACTTCCTCTCAGTCTGTCCCACCACTCTCACTGTAGACCTCCTTGAGAAGTCCCTCCTAGCGGCCGAGAAGAGCATAGTCGCTGTAGGGGTCTCTCGTGGTGACCCTCGCACCCCCATCTTTGAGGGGTGTTCTCCTTCCCCCCTTTTGCCCTCTGTCGCCTCTGCCGCTGCGGCCGACCTCGTTGGTCTTGAGTCGGTCGGTGCGGCGTCTGCCCCTAGCGGGAGACGCCGTCTTGGCAAGGGCAAGGGAGGCAAGGGCGCGGGTGGAGCGAGTTGGGGCGGTGGAGGTGGAGGTGGAGGCGGCGGAGGGAGTGGGGGTGGCGGTGGGAGTGGTGGCGGGGGTGGAGGTGTCGGTGGCAGCAGTGGAGGCAGAGGCGGCGGAGGCGGCGGCGGTACTGGCGGAGGCGGCGATGGTGGCGGAGGTGGGGGAGGCGGTGGTGGAGGTGGTGGAGGTGGTCGGGGTGGCGCTTCGCAGCGGAGCAGCACTGGTGGTGGTCAGCGCCAGCAGCAGCAGCAGCAGCAGCAGCAGCGTGCTCGTGACATCCCCCCCCCTCAGCAGCTCCGTGAGTGGTACACGCAGCGTCAGCGTGGTGGGGGTTTTGGTCCCTGCACCTACGTCCTTCGCACCAGCGACCGCGCGGGTGAGCAGTGTGGGGGTGCCCACCCCACCTAGCGCTGCTTTGGCCGCCTGACGGACGCTTGGCGTCAGCAGTTCCCGGAGTTCACTGAGATCCCCCGCTGGGGAGAGCTGTCTAGGGCAGGCGTAGCTATCTATGATCTTGACTTTGATGCTCTCCTTGCTGCCATGTATGCTGTGACTATTAGTGATGAGGGTGACTGTTACCGGTGTTTCCCGCCCGACCCGGGCATTGGTACTGCTGCTCTAGGTACTAGTGAGGCTACTGCTCTAGGTGCCAGTGAGTCTGCGCTCTCAGGTACAAGTGAGTCTGCGCTCTCAGGTACTACGTCGGCTTCGGCCTCCCTCACCTTCACCCTTGACTCTGGAGCGTCTCGCTCCTTCTTTCGGGACCGCACCTCACTCACGCCGCTTAGTCGGCCTGTTGCGGTGTCTGTGGCT